GAAATAAATAGGACACATGTGTAAATACTGAATAGTTTCTCTAGTGTGAGAAACTGAAAGTGTAAATAAGGATTAAAACGAATAATTGATAATTTAAAATAGGAAGAAAAGGTCCAAAGGAGTAGGAGCAGTGGGAGCAGAAGGGGAAAGGAAAGAAGGGAAAGGAAAAATTATGAGAAAAGAAAAAAATGGAAACAAAGCCTACGTAAATAGGGAAGGATGGAGCGGGGGAAGGGCACACAGGGAATGGGGAAAAAATAAGAACCAAGATACATCATGTTTAGGTACAAGCACCCAATGATAAATGTAAATGTATTATATACCTAAAATGTACCAATAAAGGAATTTAAGCCCAAAAAAAAAGGTGATCAAAAGTACGAGAGAGAGGGTGGGGCATTTAGCTCAGTAGCATCAAAACCTGCCTTGTAAGCACAAGGTCCTGAGTTCAATCTCCAGTACCAAAAAAAAAAAAGTACAAGAGAGAAAATATTTGCCACTTTACATCTGACAGTGGGTTGATATCTAGAATATATAAGGAACTCCAAAGACTCAGTCGCAAAAATTTTTTAAATTAACTAATTTTAAAATGAACAATATCCTTTAGTAGATATTTCTCAGAGAAGGCATTCCAATGACTAATAGGTATATGAAAAAATGTTAACATCACTAATAATCAGAGAAATGCAAATCAAAACCACCTCACTCTTGTAAAAATGAGTATTATCAAGATTACCAGTGATGTGGAGGATACACAGAAAGGTTGGTGGGACTGTAAATTAGTATAGGCATCGTGAAAACAGTATAGAGGTTCCTCAAAAAACTAAAAATAGACCTACCAAATGATCCAGTAATTGCCCAACTAAGTATATAGCCAAAAGCAATTAAATCAGTTCATCAAAGATCCATCTGCACTGAGCATGGTGGCGCACACCTGTGATCCCAGCACTCTAGAGGCTGAGGCAGGAGGACTGCAGTGAGTTCAAGGCCAGCTTGGGCTATATAATGACTTCGGGGCCAGCCCTAACTACAAAGCAAGACCCTGCCTCAAAATAAAAGGTACATCTACATTCCCATGTTTATTGCAGTACTATTCATAATAACAGGCAGGAAAAGGAAACAACTTAAGCATCCATCAACAGAGGCATGAATAATGTGGAGTATGGGATCTATTAAATACAGAAGAGAATACTATTCAGTCATCAAAAAACAACGAAATACTGTCTTTTGTGCCAACATGGTTGGAACTCAAGATCATTATGTTAAGTGAAATAAACACTGGTACAGAAAGACAAGCACCACATGATTTCACTATTCCATGGCAATAGTGGCAGGAAAACTACAAGTTTGAGCCCAGCCAGGGCAATTTAGTGACTTAGCAAGACACTGTCTCAAAATTTTAAAAAGAAAAAAGGGGTGGGGTGGGATAGGGTAGGGATGTAACTCAGTATGAAGGCTCTGGGTCCAATCTCCAGTGCCATAGAAAAAAAAGTGTTGGTATGCAATTGCATAGTAAGTGATTGTAAATAATAATATACTGTATATTTTCAAAATACATGTGTAGGCTCATTTAGTATGAAATAATCCCTAGAGGGTTCATAGACATTCAACTTTCCCCTGAAAAATAGCTTGGTAATCATTTTTGCCCATTTCTAAGTCTTTGACAAATTTTCCTGATATATTTTTCTAAGTGGTGAAAAGATTTTAAATTGTTACAAATCTTAAATTCTTTGAAGGCAGAAAACATGGTGTCACTTTCTTATGTACCCTCTAGAAATGTTTAGTAAAGTTTTCTTTACTTAATATATATAATCAAATGTTATATATTAAATATATATATAATCAAAGTTTATCACAAAATATTTGAGGTAGTACAAATTTTACATACTAACTACTCTGCGGCAGGCATTGTGCTAAAAGATACAGAAACGAAATGAATGAATGAATGGTCCCAATCCTGATAAGGTATTTAATAGTCCTACTTCTGACAGAGTATCTTTTTGTTTTTAGAAAAGGAAGAAGAGCACTGCTGTGTTTCTGTGCCATATATTTTATTATACTCTGCAATTTCATACTTACCTATACTCTTCTGAATATCAAACTCAGTAAAATCTAATCAAATGATCCAGTCTGTATTATTCCTATGTTACTTTTTGGCTTGAGATTTTGTGTTACAGTAACTTGAAGATAGTCATCCATGTTCCAACAATTCTGGTGAAGAAATAAAAGACATGTTGCTAGCTCATTAAACTTTTCTGGACTTTCACCAATTAATAAAGTTAGTTATTTTTATAGTTATTTAGCAACTATAAACCTTGAGTCCTTTTTTATTTTACGATTCTTTCAGTACTCTAAAGTAGCTATTCAGCCATCTCATTTTATTGCTACTATAGCTAAGAATTCTAAATTGCATATATTACAGTCTGTCAAGCTCAATGGAGGTGTACTGTAATCCACCCTATAAAATTCTGTAACTTAAATATAGTATCACTATAATTACATATTTATAGAACCTTAGTAGAATTATAAGTTAGTAGGCAAAATATTTTAATTCTGGCAAAAATGAGTAACTACTTCCAAAAAGTGTTTCTTCTCCTGAGTTTACTACTTTATGGATTCCTACCAAATAAATAAGATTAAGATGTCCTTTGCTTAGTAATACTTAAAAATATGGCCCTATATTAAGATTTTTGTCATATTATCCTACTTATTACACTATTCCTCTGCCTCCAAAATAAAGGAACAGAATTCGGAACTATGACTGCATAAATTAAAGAACTAGGTACAGTTCTATGTATGGTCCAGTGGTCATCTGAAACACAGGAAAATAGTAATATTTCTACATAGGCAGTCAAACTAGAGTAATTGCTGAGTTCTGAAGCTAAAAACCATTGTTTCACAGAAGACCCTCAGCATGGAAATATGTACAGTACTTTCAGCATGGAATGGTGGCTTGAAATCCCAGGTTAGGAGGTTGAGGCAGGAGGATCACAAATTGGAGGCCAGTCTGGGCAACTTAGCAAGACTTTGTCTCAAAGTAATAAAAATTTTAAATTTTTTCTAAAATTTAAAAAAGGCTGAGGATGTGTCTCAGTGGTGAAGTGGATGGATTCAATCTCCAGTACTGGAAAAAAAAAAAATAATAAGTACTGTTGTCACTTACTGATTTTTACTCTAAAACAAACACTTTTTTTTTTTTTTTTTAAATCAAGGTCAGAAAGCTTCAGAGTGAGGACAACACTATTAGGTTCAGGCCTGGTTACTAACTCAGCCACAGGCCTGGGATGTAGCTCAACAGTAGAACACTTGACCAGCATGTGTGAAGCCCTCGAGTTCAGTCCCAGTACCAGGAGAAAAAAAAAAGCAGACATTTTAAAACTAGGAGTTAAGTTTCCAGTATCAGAACAATATCGTCATGCCTTTTGGAATAGGTCAGCAATTTCCAGGCTGGAAGGGGTGGGCAGTGCAGAGGGGCTGCACTGCAAATAGTCACTAGAGTTTCTTTAGAGATGATGTCTTGGAACAAGAGATGAAGAGTTGCAGAAGGTAGTAAATGTGCTAAATGCCACTGTACACTTTTTTTTTTTTTTTGGTACCGGGGAGCAAACTCGGGTCCTTGCGCTTGCGCAGCAGGCGGCGAAACCACTGAGCTAAATCCCCGGCCCACTGTACACTTTAAAATGCTTCATGAGAAACTCATTTCAATAAAAAATGTTTTTAAACACACATCTATTCTGGGCTTTCAGGCAGAAACGAACTTCACCTGGCGAAGGCCAACGGTACAAAGCCTGTCCAAGAGCAGCATCACAGGCGAGGCGCGCTCCGACCTCACCACAGAGCCCTGCGGAAAGTGGTCCAGAAGGCTCAGGCAGACTGTAGTTTCAGGAATAGCCAACTAACTACCAATCAACACTACGTTGAACTCACTTCAGTATGAAAAAAAAATGACAAGATATTCATCGGAATCTTCTAGAAATCTATGGGCAATAGCGTACATACACCGGAGTAACAGAAGCCATTTTAAGAAAATGTTTTTTGGATATTGAGTAGGCCTCAAACATTACATTAAAGGTAGGAGTTTAACTACGACAGGTGCATTTGGCAGTGGCGTGGCGTCTCACAGGAAAATGTGAAAACCACTCTAAGGCTCCTTCAGCGCCGACAAAGCTCCCCGCTAAAGTTCACCTCAGTACCAACCCGCCGGAAAGCTGCCTCTCTACTAGCCGAAGAAGGCGGGGCCTCCAAGCTCACTCCCGCCGCACAGCGAGAGCTGCGCCGCTGGGCCTCCTAGGAATTGTAGTTTTCTGTCACCCACATGTCTCTTTTTCGGGCGAGTATGAAGAGGCAAGGAAAACTACATCTCCCAGAGTGCTCCGGGAGGCGGGCTAGCGGCCGCCGCGGTGACGACTGTGGCGGAGAAGGCCCCAGGGCCTCTGCGTTCTGGAGCGGCGTTGCTGAGGCTGGTGGCTTCTGGTGTCGGGCCTGAGGAGAACTGCGAGCGTGTTCAGCATTTCCTGCCGAGATCCCAGCAACAATGAGCGCTGCCAGGGAGTCTCACCCGCACGGGGTGAAGCGTTCAGCTTCCCCAGACGACGATGTAAATAATGGCGGAATGGATGAGGGTTGAGGCCTACTAAAGGTTGGGGTAGGCCGAGCTTGGTGGATGGAGAAGGAAGCTCCTGAGGAGTCCTGAGCGGGGAGGAACAAGAAGGATAACTGGGAAATACCTTTCTTTCTTAATTAAGCTCTGGAGAATTTGAGAGCAGGAATCCTGTGTAGGACTGGGATGGAGGAAGGAAATAAGAGAGGGTCGAGAAATGAAAGAGTTTAGTAAAGGGATTATCGTACTTGCATTTTGGGGTACTGATGAAGCAGCGTTCCTGGGCCTTTCTGCTTAGGATAGAGACGGCAAGACTCTGCCTGTTTAAGGTTTAAAATGCTTCTTTGACAATTGCGAAATGCTCGTGCACATTTGAACAAAATTTCCTGCCTGGATTATTTTTCCAGTGGACTGTACTCTTAGGAGTTATCGTTAACTTTACTCACAAGAGTAAACGGAAAACGATATTGAACCGAAAAACTGTAGCAGGGTTGTAATTCGGTACTGGCATAATGTGAGGTCCAAGACAAACGTGGAAGCCCATTTTGATTTTAAATACATCTGTTCGCCTTCCCCCCAGACCTTTTTGAGTTTAAATTAACAAACTATCCCTTATGTAACCAATTAAATGTTGACTGCTGTCCCAGGTGTTGGGAATTCACAACTATGGTACTTAATTATATTGTTTGTTTCGTGGTATATGTGTCCTAGCTCTAGCGCAGTGTCATGGAATCTAGGTAACCTATAAACGCGAAAGTAGGTCCTTCATATGATCAGTAAATGTCTTGGGAACATTGGTAGGGCAATTGGGAAGGGAGCATGGAGAGGTCATCTTTAAGGATCATGCAGGAACATCTAACTTTAACTTATGTATTGAAAACATAATCAATTTTTAAATTTTCTGTAGCGCACCTATCTCTGTGAACCATAAAAAGCTCACAGTACTATTTTGTACATAATGAAATAGTGCTAGGGCCGGGGATTTAGCTCAGTGGTTTCACCGCCTGCTGCACAAGCTCAAGGACCCGAGTTCGACCCCCGGTAACAAAAAAAGAAATAGTGCTAAAACCTACCTGTCTTTGGGTGGAAGGTGGAGCGAGACTAAAATAGTAAGAATCTTTAAAGAAATTTAACTCTGCAGAAAGATTAGTATCAATAAAGATTTGGGGGATGAATGTTTATCTCCTGATGTTTATTCATGCTTTCTACTCTCCCTGCTTCTGGTATTTAGATCTTGGGATTTTTAAATATTTTAAAAATCATATCTTTATAGTAGACTTTGAAATTGTAGAAAGTCAACCAACAATGCTACGGTCAACCATTTTTAATGAACATCCACTTCATGTAAAAGATAGTTGAAGGGTTTTTTTTGTTTTGTTTTTGGCACGGGGATCAAACTCAGGTCCTTGAGCTTGCACAGCAGGTGGCGAAACCACTGAGGTAAATCCCCGGCCCCTGTTGAAGGGGGGTTTTTTTGTTGTTTTTTTTTTGCTCATTTACCTCACATTTATCTTGGGTAACCAAGTATTTTGTGATATTAAGCTAAATACTCAGTCACAGCATACAACTCTAGGCAAGTGCTGACAGTGAAGAAGTAAATAGTGGGCCGGGGATTTAGCTCAGTGGTGCCATCACCTGCCTCTCAGGCGCAATGCAAGGTCCTGAGTTCGATTCCCAGTACCCCGCCTCCCCAAAAGAAGTAAATAGTATCATGAGGATAGGTATTGAAAAAAATTTATTATAGTTCTATAGTAAAGAATATTGAGGATGAATATAATTTAATGGTTTCATTGGTTTGGTTGGAGTGGAGAAATGATTATTATAGTGAGGAGATTCATTTGAGTAATTAGTAAAAAATTTCTAATAATCCAGCAGACACTCATGCTTTTCAGAATGAAACACTGGCAAGGTATTTGTTCTTTAAGACAGCGGCTTAAAGTAATAAGATTAGAAATTGTAAAAGTAGGGTTATTTATGTAAAAATACTGTGAAGAAGTTTGCTTGGGTAGGGGTGCTAGGCATTGAACCAGTGGCCTTGTTCATGCTAAACATGCATTCTGCCACCAAGCAACAGCCCCAACCTTTGTTTGCTCTTTTTTTTTTTTTTGGTACTGGGGATTGAATTCAGGACCTTGCGTTTGCAAGGCAGGTGGCGGAACTACTGAGGTAAATCCCCAGCCCTATATTTGCTCTTTTAATAGAAATAAAGAATCTGGAAAGTTCATTTTTAGGTAATTGTAACTGCAGTCTGTAGGTATTCTCAGTGTCCTATTTAATTTGGTCATTTACATTATGATGTGGAAAAGAGCAGAGGATTTATAGCCAGAGAAGTGAAGCAAGTCATCTACATATCTGTGCCTTACTGTCCTTATTTATCAACTGTTGTAAGGAGCTCTTGAGTGAATGTAAATTAAAAGTTATTTATAAGTAGTAAAACAGTCCAGGTTGAGTATCCCTTATGCTTAGAACCAGAAGTAATTTGGATTTCAGATTTCATTTTTTAATTTGGGAATATTTGCATTTACACAATGAGATATCTTGGAGATAGAACTCAAATTTAAATAGGAAATTCATTTATTTCATACACAACTTGAAAGAAACATAGCCTAAAGATAATTTTATACATCATTTTTAGTGTGCTTTGTTTTACTCTAACAAGAGGTCATGTGGAATTTTCCACTTTTGGAACATTTTGTTTTTTTGTGTTTTGGGGTTTTTTTGGTACTGGGGATCGAACTCGGGTCCTTGCACTTGCGCAACAGGCAACGAAACCACTGAGCTAAATTCCTGGCCCAATAACTTGAATTTTTGAAACCTGTGATTATTTACAACTTTGTGTTAAAGAGGTGTTTGTCATCTTTGCTCCATAATTGCAAAATGTTTTCATTTTTAGATTATAAACTCAGAATGATCAGTCCAGTGAATATTTTCATTTCTGTATCATCTTTTTCCTTTCAATCACCTTTATATACACACCTGCCTTCTTCAGCCTTTGTCCACTTACAGACCAAATCAAGTAAATTTTGCTTGCACAAACATACAAGATTAAGTAAAAGTCACACATGCTTTTAGAAAGATGAGGTGATTCTAACTTCTGCTGCAAAATACTGCAAGATGAAGTCCTTCCTGTTGCCTGACTCCACGTTCGAGAACTATATTTCTTGTCCCTTTTTTTGTTTTTGTCTCACATTGGTTCTAGGATGGGAGAAAAGTCATCTAGTGTTGCATCATCCAAAGACTCATAGTCTGAGATTTTTCCACATGGTTAATTTCACCCTGATTTTTAGTCTATGATACTATACATTCATCCAGTTTTGGGGTGGTGGTGGTGGTGGTTGGGGAGTTTTTTGTTTTTTGGTTTGTCTAATAGTTGTAAAATGTCTTCATCAGTTTTCTTTGCTATTACGAGTGGAAAATGAAAAATTGTCAATTCTCTTCTGTGATCGCTGAATTGTAAAAGCAGGAAACAAGGTTTCTTCTTGAAAGATGTTGCAATACTTGGGATACAATATAATGAGAAAAGTCTTCCAGGATTCTAGTTTCTTAGGGTTTTAGTTGTTTTTAGCTTGCTGGGGAATAATTGATGAATTGTAGTGAATTAATTTGTACATTTGTTTCAAAATACAGGGAAAAATAGTCAACTAGGATTCTGTAGTATTTCTTAGATTTATGAAAGGGTCCAGTGGACCTATTGGTGATTACAAGATAAAATGAATCAGTCTATATTCTTTTTTTGTTTTGGGGGTGTTTTTTTGGTACCAGGGATCAAACTCGGGTCCTTGCACTTGTGCAGCAGGCGGCGAAACCACTGAGCTACATCCCCAGCCCTCAGTCTATATTCTTTTAGAAAACAAATTTTCTCTTTGTTCTTTGGAAGACTTTTAAGAAAGAAGTCATGGCATTTCATTTCTAACAAACAATTGCTGAAAAGAAACTGAAAAATTACAATTGGGTTCAGTAGATCCTAATGATATGCTGTCCCTTAGGGTATCACTAAAGCCAGAATTTTTTAAATGTAAACTAGCAATTGTGGTAACCTTGGTTCAGAGTTCTATTGCTGTAAGCCCTTTCAAAAGGCTGTAGCAGTGGGTATTAAAGTGTGGTCCCCACAGCATTAGCATCATTCAGAGACTTGTTAGAAACTCAAATCCTGATACTGAAACTCGGGGTACAGACCAACCCACTAGCTGATTCTGAATCATGCAGATTTTTGAGACCCAGATTTCTGCTGGAAAAGAAGTATTCTATCCTGAGGTAATAGAAAAGGAATATATTTGAATTCAAGTATGAAGCATATGCTTAGATTAGGCAAGAATGATGACCCTGTTAATAGTTAAAACTGACAAGAAAAACTTGGAATTATAGGTAGACTTTAAATTTTTCAGTACTTTTATGCAGAAAAAAAAAAAATTGACTAATTTTTCTTCCAGCTTGGATCTAGCAATTGGGAGGCAGCAGACTTGGGCAGTGAAGAGAGAAAACAAAAGTTCCTCAGACTTATGGGTGCAGGAAAGGTAAGTATTATATGGGATGCACCTCATATTATTTCTCTGAAAATAATGCTTTTTGATCAGGGATTTAGCTCAGTGGTTTCGCCACCTGCTGTGCAAGCACAAGGACCTGAGTTCAGTCCCCTGTACCAGAAAATAATGCTTTTTGTGTGTATATTAAGTCAGAGGACTGAACACATCTGGATCACATTTTCCCATTTGACATAATTTCTTTGTGAAGTACACCCAGCCTAACCTAGTGCTTAAAATTTATACTATTTCTGAACTACTTCTAGAATTCTCAGTGCTTCTAGTATTAAGGTTGGAGATAGTTTAGAGAAAAGAGGTATGAAAGTTTATGATTTGCTGTCTGTTAGCCTGGTGATTTTGATAGAAGCTATTTCTGGGCAATTACTTTGTAGGAGCTAATATCAAAAATCTGTTGTAGGCCTGGGGATTTAGCTCAGTGGTTCTGGTGCCTGCCTCACAAGTGCAAGGTCCCAAGTTCGATCCCCGGTACAAAAAAAATCTGTTGTATTTCATAGTTCTCTCCAGCCCTTGAATTAGAAACCAAGAACTATTTTTTATGTAGACCTAATTTTAGGAATATTTAGTATATTTTGAAATGCCTTAGTTTAATTAACATAAAGTATAAAAATACAATTTAAAAATGAAAACTACTAATTAATGAAAAATCTTTTTCCTTGCAGTTTATTTTTACATACAAATACAGTGATCTTTGGACATTTATTTTTTGTAAGCAAATAAACTTATTTTCTTTTTCTTTTTTTTTTGGTGCTGGGGATCAAACTTGTGACCTTGCGCTTGCGAGGCAGGCGGCAGAACCACTGAGCTAAATCCCCAGCCCTTAAATTTATTTTCTTAACATTTTCACAGTAATCTCCCTACAAAATAAATTTGAAAGAAATAGAATTTTAAGACATTTTTTTGCTCAGAGGGCCTAATCGAACCCAGGGTCTTCAAGCTGAACTACATCCCAAGCCCTCCTCTTTATTTGTTGGAGATAGAATCTTACTAAGTTGCTAAGGTGCCCAGGCTGGGCTCAGACTTGAAACCCTTCTGCCTCAGCCTGAAAAGCTTTATTTCTTTTTAAGCTACCTAAAAATGAAATTCCACGGTTTGTTTTTATTATATATGGGAATACATTCATGCATTTTACCAACAATTACCGATTACTATATGCCAGGTCCTGGGGATCACAGATCAATAACACATGTTTGGAACCATGATGTAATGGAGGAATTTTGATAATAACAATAAAGAATTATAATTGCTGTGAGAGAGCTATGCACATAATGCTGCGAAATCATAGGGAAGGACAGCTAACTCTGGCATAGTAGTTCAAAATAGCTTCCCAGAGATGAAATTGATTTCGATCTGAAGGAAAAGTTAGACTACAGCAGTGAGGTTGAGCATAGGGAGAGGTCATGTGAAATACAAAGATTTACATAAGGAAACCATTTGTTCATATTTCCCAGTAATTTGTTTGTCCTAGACAGATTGAGGTTTGTGGGGTTTTTGGGGGGTTTTTTTGATACCGGGGATCGAACTCTGGATTGAGGTTTTTCTTAGTTCATACGAAAAGATTTGCTAAGATAATTGAAATAAGTAATCAATTAAGAGCCTGTTTAACCAGTAGAATGAAAACTTTTCAAGTACTTAGAACATTCTACCATAAAATATAGCTATCGGTAAATAGGCTGTAATGTACATTAAATTCTTTGCTGTAGGTGTTGGAGTGTAACTCAGGGGTAGAGTACAAGATTAGCATGTGTTAATGACATGTAAAGTAATAATGTGCTTGAAGTTTTTAAGTAGTATCGTATGTTGGCCATTGTTTTACAGTAGGATGATTTGCTAGTATATACTACACTTGATCTCAGCCAAAAGGCCAAGAAGTGATACGATTTGCTAGTATATATTCACAGATAATTGGTTAGGATTGCTTTGCATAGAAAGACTTGTTTAACCTTTCAGTCAGTTTTAATGAATTTCTTTACCCTATGAAACTATGAACCATTAAGAGTGGACTGGACTGCCAGACACAGTAGTACATAGCTATAATCTCAGAATCTCAGGAGGCTGAGGCAGGAAGATCATAAGTTTGAGGCCAGCCTATGCAAGTTGATGAGACCTTGCCTGCCTAGCATGTACAAGGCCCTGGATTCAATACCCAGTACCACACATAAGAGTGGACTAGACTGATAAAATGAGACCAGTTATATATATATATTTGATCAATTGGTTATTCTGAATTAGATTTTTGTTTTGGGGGGGTTTTTTGGTACTGGGGATCAAACTGAGCACCTTGTGCTTGCGATGCAGGCGGCAGAGCCACTGACCTAAATCCCCGGCCCTGAATTAGATTATTTTGATGTTTTATAGTATTAGATTGTTTTAAACGCTGTTCTGGCAAGTTGTAATTAGTTTATTGTAGTCTGATAGTAAAGAGCCAGCCAGTTGGTCACAACATATTGTACATGATAACTTTTTTTTTGGTACTGGGGTTTGAACTCAGGACCTTGCGCTTGCAAGGCAGGCGCAGTGCCACTGAGCTAAATCCCCAGCCCAATAACATTTTTAAGCTGGCCATAGTGGCACACACTCGTAATCCCAGGACTTGGGAAGATGAGGAAGGAGGATCACAAATTTGAGGTCAGCCTGGGCTATAATAGTGAATTCAAAGCCAGCTGGCACTACAGAGTTAGACTGTCTCACAGCAACCAATAAAGTAATAATGATTTTTTATATATATCTTAAAGATTTATCACTTTGTAGATAATAAGTCTCTTTAAGTATTTCATTTTATCTACCTGAATAATCTGAAAGTCCTAAGGCATCAGGAAGTGATGGTAGGAAATGTAAACTTTTAGGAAAGAAAATGCTTAGACTGACTTAATTTTCTAGTTATCCATCTCATTCAAAATTCCGATCTAATCTCTACCCCTACTTTATACTTTATCCCCTTACTCTGCTGTGTGGTCTTAATGGCACTTGTTATTTGTACCGTTCTATAATTTATGTATTCATTATGTCTGTCGGTTTCCATTCCCTATCTCTACCCTCTCTAGAATGTAAGGTCTGTAAAGGCGAGGATCTTTTTTATTCCCTTTCCTTCATTGTATCCCAGAAACCTGGGCTAGTTTCTAGTTGATAATAAATAGTTACATTATAGTCTCCAAAATTTTTTTTTGAGACAGAGTCTCGCTATGTAGTTCAGGCTGGCCCCAGATTCACTATGTAGCCCAAGTTGGCCTCAAATTCACAGTGATTCTCCTGCTCAGCCTCCTAAGTGCTGGGATTACAGGCATATGCTGCCACACCCAGCTATAGTCTCAAATTGTAATGCATTTTCTGTCTTATAGAAAGAACACACTGGTCGTCTTGTTATAGGAGATCACAAATCAACATCACATTTCCGAACAGGTAAGAAAGTAAAATATAATTAAAATGGAGGTTCTAAATTTGATATATAGAAATACTTGTACATATTTTGGAATATTCCTCTATAGAGTTGTATTAGTCATTAAAGTAACATTGCAAATTTTTTATATAAAAATGCATTTCATGTGTCATATACAGATATAAGTAAGTCACGTGTCATGCAGCATATCAAATTTTGTGTATTTTGATTAAAAAGGATAGAATATATACTGTATATATCATGGGTTTCCAATCCCCAGGCTACAGACTAGTATCACTACTGGTCCATGGACTGGTAGCAACAGGGCAACACAGCAGGTGAGTGGCAGGGGATTAAACGAAAACTGATCCGCAGCAGCTCCTCATCCTTCTACTTCCTGGCAGATCAATAAAGGCATTACATTCTCATAGGACCACGAACCCTACTGTTAACTGCACATGTAAGGGATCTAAGTTGCATATTCCTTGTGAGAATCTAATGCCTAATAATCTTGAGTGGTAGTGCTAGTGTTGGAGAGCAGCTCCAAATACAGATTAACATTAGCAGAGAGGTTTGAGGCACAGAAACCATAATAAATCAGTGACTTGCAGACAGGTCTCAAAATCTTATGAATGAATGGGAAGCTACATCTGGTAGCTTTACAGTAGCAGTTAAGTTGATATATTCTGGGGGGTTTTTTGTTTGTTTTTTTTTTTTGGTACCAGGGATCGAACTCGGGACCTTGGGCTTTCAAGGTAGGCGCTGGAACCACTGAGCTGAATCCCCGGCCCTATATTCTAATTGTATTGTTACATCTGATGGTAGGCTTTTAGGTCAGAATCTGACATGTACTTCAGTCTGCATGTAGCCCACCCATTGTTTCAATAACCATTTCAGTCCTTGCCCCTTTATCATGATGCACACTTCCATCAGTCACAGTTTTAGTAAGTCCACAAGCTAACCTAGCCAAACTGAGTAAAAAATCGAATATCACTGGAAAGGTTCCTTGGAAAAAGGGGGAAAGACTTGAGGTAGCAGAACACTCTAAGACTGTCAACAAAAAGAAAGCTGCATTTAAACACCTGTCTCCAGCCTATTTTGGAACTAGAGACAAATTCGTGGAAGACAATTTTTCCTTAGACTGGGCGCAGGAGGGGATGATTCAAGTGCATTACATTTATTGTGTACTATATTTCTATTGTATTACATTGAAATTTATAGTTAAATAATTTTAGACAACTCACCGCAATGCAGAATCAGTGGGAACCCTGAGTTTGTTTTAACTAAATGGTACCATTAGAGGGTGACGTGAGACAGGACACCCAAAGTCTGTTACTATGTCCAGTCTACCCCCAAAATCTGGTTTTGGCTGGTGTCACTGCAGAACACCCTGCTGCACAACAATAGGATTTCAGAAATGGAAGAAGGCTTTCCAGCGTTTCTTGGCAAGCTCAGGACATTTCACCTTGGCTTTAATCCAGAATGTGTGAAGAGTTGATGTGGTCTCAAATGTACTTTTTAAGGCAATTGTCATTTAAGATCTAAAGAATTATAATGCTCCTCTAACACAGACAAAGTCAGTTCACCTGGCTTATTGACAAATGGCTCAGGATCCATTCTTTCCCAGTTGGGTGGGTGGGGGGTTCTTCTGTGGTTGGAGGCGGGGTAATGCTCAAACTCTTGAAAGCTGAGATAGGTGATCATGCACCAGCTGAAAGATAGCCATGGCTCAGTCTCTTTCAAAAATCTCTGCTAATGTTTGAAACATGCCAAAAATCCCAATGGTTATTCACCGCCCCCATAATTCCAGTTTGGCTTTGAATACAGCCACTTTATCTGTCTACTTGCACATAGTCGTTGTCTCCTGACGTGAGAGACTGAGTCTGTTGAGCGGGGTGGACATGTCACACAAGTAAGCAAGTTCTGGAATCCTTTTATGTCCTTGAAATGCGCTACCAGTGGTGACTGTTTTTTAAAAGAAATCTCTGGAGTGGCTCTCATAACTCAGAAAATCTGTCTGGTGATCTACCTTTAGAAAGCCACTTTGCTTCCATGTATAAGTGACAACATGTGTGTGCTGTGTGAACAGTTGTGAGTTAAGGACACGTACTTTAATGTAGTTGATAATTTTAATCACATCCTGCAAACGTTAAGTTCGGGTGACATTTTTCAGCTAGCCACCATTCCTCTGTGGATGACACAGTGCATAGACTCAAATTCAGAAGTGACCTCTTTGACTCAAGTAGTGAAACCAGAAAGCTGTCCCACTGTAACAGCCCCTCCATCTATACATATACTGACACAAAACGACCAATTCAGTTTTCCTGACGTGTAATGAGAGACTGGACTACTCTGCAGCTGTGGTCTTGGTTGGCCACAAAAGTTCATATCCTCCTGCACACCCTCCTGAAAGTTGCATTGCACATAAGCAAGCACTGTCACTTTGTTGTCAACATCAGTAAACTCGTCAACCTGGATTGCATACCACGGTGACTCATTAATCCTAACAGTGTACCTCAGTATTCTCTGCTGCATTCTCAATTCATCTCGTGATGGTGCTATTTGAAACAGGAACGTGTGTCACCTTTTGGACTATACCTTCTGTGGTCGCCTTGGCACCACATACACTAAAATTGAACTACAGTTTCTCCAAACAGTTCATGACAAATGTCCTTATCAGCAGGCAGGATCAACTCTTCCAGTAGCAAAGAGCTGCTTGGCTTTAGCAATGAATGCAATTAGCCACTGAGAATGATGCTCTCAGTGCAGACACATTTGATGAAATGGTAGCCTTTGACAACTGCTTCTGTTCATTGTGTTCGCATGGTTTTTTTTTTTTTTTTTGAAAGACTCCAGAGGCTTGGCTTTTAATGCAGGGTGCTTTGTCTTTTAATGCGGGGTGGCAAAGCTGTTTTGAAGGTTTCATGCGTTGGATGGCTGGTCATCACATACTATACAAAGTGCACTTGGAGGACGTGAATCACCTGTTGCAGTGAATCCATAATTTAAGTAAGACTCTTGGTATTTTTACTCATGAGTTCCCAACCCCCAGGCCACAGACTATTACTGACTGTCCATGGCCTGTTATGAACTGGGGCACCTAGCAGTTAGTAATGGCCAACTGAGAGAAGATTCAACTGTCTTACAACAGCTCCCCATACTTTGCATTACCACCTGAGCTCCATCTCCTGTCAGATCAGCAATGGCATTAGATTCTCATAGGAGCATAGACCCTGCTGATAACTAGAAACATGAGGGATCCAAGTTCCAAATTCCTTGTGAGAATCTAATGCCTGGTAATCTGAGGTGGTTGTGCTAGTGTTGGAGAGTGGCTGCAAATACACATTGAGAGAGAGATCTGATCCACAGTGACCAAAATCAATTGCTTGCACACTCCTCTCAAAACCATGAGTGGGGCGGAGGTTTAGTTCAGTGTTTCTGCTGCCTCCCTCACAAGCGCAAGGACCTGAGTTCAATCCCTGGAACCCCCCCAAAACAAAACAAAAAAACCACATGAGTAAGTTGCAAGTGATAAGGAAGCTGCATCTGGTGGTAGACTTTATAGAGGCAAGAAAGTTGATGCACTTCAACTGCACAGCTGCATCTGGTGGCAGGCTTTACGTCAGAATCTGATGCTTATTTTAGTCTGCATGTGGCCGACCCATTTTATTTATCACTTCAGTCCCTGCCTCTTTCCTACACTGCACTTTTCTCAGTAACAGTTTTGGTGAGCACACAGCTAACCCTAGCCAGAATAAGTAAAAAAAAAAAAAAGTCACTGCATTTTCTTGGAGAAGGGGAAAAGACCTAATGATGAGACAGCAGAAGACTTTAGGAATGCCAACAAGAGAGACTGCAGTTAAAAGAAAATACCAAGAGTCTTACTTAAATTATGGATTCACTGCAACAGGTGATTCACGTCCTCCAAGTGCACTTTGTATAGTATGTGATGACCAGCCATCCAACGCATGAAACCTTCAAAACAGCTTTGCCACCCCGCATTAAAAGACAAAGCACCCTGCATTAAAAGCCAAGCCTCTGGAGTCTTTCAAAAAAAAAAAAAAAAACCATGCGAACACAATGAACAGAAGCAGTTGTCAAAGGCTACCATTTCATCAAATGTGTCTGCACTGAGAGCATCATTCTCAGTGGCTAATTGCATTCATTGCTAAAGCCAAGCAGCTCTTTGCTACTGGAAGAGTTGATCCTGCCTGCTGATAAGGACATTTGTCATGAACTGTTTGGAGAAACTGTAGTTCAATTTTAGTGTATGTGGTGCCAAGGCGACCACAGAAGGTATAGTCCAAAAGGTGACACACGTTCCTGTTTCAAATAGCACCATCACGAGATGAATTGAGAATGCAGCAGAGAATACTGAGGTACACTGTTAGGATTAATGAGTCACCGTGGTATGCAATCCAGGTTGACGAGTTTACTGATGTTGACAACAAAGTGACAGTGCTTGCTTATGTGCAATGCAACTTTCAGGAGGGTGTGCAGGAGGATATGAACTTTTGTGGCCAACCAAGACCACAGCTGCAGAGTAGTCCAGTCTCTCATTACACGTCAGGAAAACTGAATTGGTCGTTTTGTGTCAGTATATGTATAGATGGAGGGGCTGTTACAGTGGGACAGCTTTCTGGTTTCACTACTTGAGTCAAAGAGGTCACTTCTGAATTTGAGTCTATGCACTGTGTCATCCACAGAGGAATGGTGGCTAGCTGAAAAATGTCACCCGAACTTAACGTTTGCAGGATGTGATTAAAATTATCAACTACATTAAAGTACGTGTCCTTAACTCACAACTGTTCACACAGCACACACATGTTGTCACTTATACATGGAAGCAAAGTGGCTTTCTAAAGGTAGATCACCAGACAGATTTTCTGAGTTATGAGAGCCACTCCAGAGATTTCTTTTAAAAAACAGTCACCACTGGTAGCGCATTTCAAGGACATAAAAGGATTCCAGAACTTGCTTACTTGTGTGACATGTCCACCCCGCTCAACAGACTCAGTCTCTCACGTCAGGAGACAACGACTATGTGCAAGTAGACAGATAAAGTGGCTGTATTCAAAGCCAAACTGGAATTATGGGGGCGGTGAATAACCATTGGGATTTTTGGCATGTTTCAAACATTAGCAGAGATTTTTGAAAGAGACTGAGCCATGGCTATCTTTCAGCTGGTGCATGATCACCTATCTCAGCTTTCAAGAGTTTGAGCATTACCCCGCCTCCAACCACAGAAGAACCCCCCACCCACCCAACTGGGAAAGAATGGATCCTGAGCCATTTGTCAATAAGCCAGGTGAACTGACTTTGTCTGTGTTAGAGGAGCATTATAATTCTTTAGATCTTAAATGACAATTGCCTTAAAAAGTACATTTGAGACCACATCAACTCTTCACACATTCTGGATTAAAGCCAAGGTGAAATGTCCTGAGCTTGCCAAGAAACGCTGGAAAGCCTTCTTCCATTTCTGAAATCCTATTGTTGTGCAGCAGGGTGTTCTGCAGTGACACCAGCCAAAACCAGATTTTGGGGGTAGACTGGACATAGTAACAGACTTTGGGTGTCCTGTCTCACGTCACCCTCTAATGATACCATTTAGTTAAACTCAGGGTTCCCACTGATTCTGCATTGCAGTGAGTTGTCTAATTATTTCATTATATATTACAGTGAAATAATAATAGAAACACCATGAACAGTAATTGTAATGTGCTTGAACCATTCCAAAACTACCCCACCACCACCTCACCCCCCAGTCAATGGAAGAATTATTTTCTCTGAAACTGGTTTCTGGTTCCAACAAGATTAGAGATGCTGCTATATATAAATATGATATTCTCAACAAAACATACCCCCTTTTAGTGTTTATTTTTACTGATTCAGAACATATATTTTAATTATAGTAAGATTTTATGTTGCCAAATGAGATAGTTACAGACTTTCTAAAATTTTTTTTAGACTTTTCTCTTTGTACAAATTATTTAGCATATGTTATAGTTGACATATCATAATTTTTTTAGTTTATTCACAGTCTTATTCAAAACTTTGAAGAATATAAACAGAAACAGGATTCAGAGTCTTTAGAAAGAAACATTTCCTTTTTTTAAATTTAGCAGGAAACTTTTTCAATAAAACCTGAAAGTGATGGGCCAGGGATTTAGCTCAGTGGTTTCGCCACCTGCTGTGCAAGCGCAAGGACCCGTGTTTGATCCTCAGTACCCAAAAAAAAAACCTGAAAGTGAATTTTAATTTTAAATCAGTCTGTTGTTTAAACCTGTGTAAAAGAGGCATTAATCTTGGACATCATTAATAATGGCATAATGTCCTACTTTAAATTTAACCCAAGTAATTTAACTTCATACTGATCTAGTATGTATAGCACATTTTATAAATTAATAGATCTTTCATTTTTCTAATGTTAAAAATTTGTTTCAGATTGATTTACATTGCTACATAAGGCAAAAAATGAGCCTTGCATAATGGAAAAGTATTTTAACTGCTTCATTTACCCTTAAAATTAAGAGCTTTATGAATATAGTATACCATTTGTGATTAACACTTGAAATTTCTCATATATATCCTTATAAATTATCCACAGGATACTAGTAATATTGGCAAAATTCTAGTTCTGGAGAAGAAAGTCCATGGGTGGTTGTTTAGTATTCTGCTTCATAACTTACATATAGCAGAATATATGTATATTAAATATATATACATGTTGCATGAAGAAATAACAATCTTTTTAAGTTTATGTTGCTTCATTTAGCTAATAATAAGCCAAGGCAGGCATAAAGGAGAGCCAATACAAGGTCACTTTCATTTAGCCATTCACTGAATAGAATTGCCTTACCTTTTCACTTTTTGTTGGAGACAAGGTCTGGCTACATAGTTTAGGCTGGCCTTGAACTCACTATGTAGTCCAGCACAGCCTCCATCTTATGCCAATCCTCCATTCATGGCCTCCTGAGTACTAAAATTACAGGTATGCACCACCATGTTCAGCTCTTTTCACTATTTCTGTTCAGAAACAGATTGTTTTGTTCATCGGAAGGGGGTTTTGTTGTTTTTGTTTTTGTTTAGGTGACTTGGAGAAAGGTTTCAGAACAGTCATAGCTGGGCATGGTGGTACACACCTGTACTCCCACCACTAGGGAGCCTAAAGCAGGAGGATCGCTGAGAATTTAAGGCCAGCCTGCATTACATAGTGAGACCCTGTCTCAGAAACTGAATAAACAGCAACAACAATTAAAAAAAAGATCAGTCATTAAACAGTTGTAATGAAAGGCTGTTTTTTTGTTTTGTTTTTTTGGTACCAGGATCGAACTCGGGTCCTTGCACCTGCACAGCAGGCATCAAAACTACTGAGCTAAATCCCCGGCCCCTGAAAGGCTCATTTTTGAAAGAACTAATCATAAATATATCTTTTAATTATTTTATTGTTTATTAGGTAACCACTTGTGGTATAGAAACCTAGCCACAAAATTCATTGTAAAATTAATTGCATTTAGAAAATTCAGGTCTGAATAAAATAGCGTCTTTATAATGGGTTTTTTGTGTAATCAGATGTTTTTATTAATTTGACTGAAACATAACCAAAGTAAAATGGACATACAGGGGAAGAAGACAAGAAAATTAATGAAGAACTGGAGTCTCAATATCAGCAAAGTATGGACAGTAAATTATCAGGAAGATATCGACGACATTGTGGACTTGGCTTCAGTGAGGTAGTAGTTAACTTGTTTTCATTGATTGGGAGAATAACCAGTTTCAGTTTGACATCATGTCTTTTGGATTACCCTAGCAACCAAGAATCCTAATGTAGAAGACTCTTTATAGAGATATTTAAAATATCCTTATTGCCCAACCGGGTCTCTATAGATAACCAGAAAAGATGTTTTTAAGAATTTTTAAATGTAATGCCAGCCTAATTAAATTCTGCTTAATCGTTACAGTACATCTTTAATAGGCATAAACAACATGCTCACAAGTTATATAAAATATATAACTTTAAAATACTACTTGGGTTCTCAATTATTTCCTGAGTGATCTTTTTTTGTTATGAATTAATGTGTAACCACTGATTACTCCAAAGTAACATAATACACAATGTTTGAAACTTATTTCCCTATAAAAGTCATTTAATTTTTTACCTTACTAAAACATTGTTTTGGGAAAATAAATTATTTTCAAACTACCGGAGGGGAGACCGATGAGTGGTCTTTGCATTACTTTGTTACATCAGTGGAAATTACTGATCCTCAGTGCCAAGTTCTTCCCTCGCCAGCCTCTGGTTATAATGCAGTCTTAAAACTACTGACCTAATAGTTAGGATGTGGGCTTTTTTGAAAGACTTTGACAAAGACCCTTTCCCAGTTTGTGTGCTGGCTAATGACAGTGGTTTTAAGAAGAGCCTGTTAATTGGTATTTTAGGTAGAAGATCATGATGGAGAAGGTGATGTGGCTGCAGATGATGATGATGATGATGATGATTCACCTGATCCTGAAAGTCCAGATGATTCTGAAAGTGACTCAGAGTCAGAAAAAGAAGAATCTGCTGAAGAACTCCAAGCTACTGAGCACCCTGATGAAGTGGAAGATCCCAAAAACAAAAAAGATGCAAAAGGCAACTATAAAATGATGTTTGTTAAATCCAGTGGTTCATAACTCCAAAACACTTAGTCTTTGTATTAAAAGTAAGCCTTATTGTTATAATGCACAGTGGAGGACTGCTTATAGAGCACAGACCTTTGTATTATAATTTTTAAAAAGGCCCTTTTAAATAATTACAAAGTGTTTGATTTCAAATGCCATGGGTTACACTTTTATGGGCATGACTATAACCATTTTTGTAAAGAGCAAGAGTTGTATAAAATAAGAAATAAATACAGTACTCAACTTCCTTTCATATTAGCATCATCAGCCCTCTAGCCTCACCTTTTTACCTCTGCAGATGCATTTAGGGGGAATATTTTTTTTTTGTTTGTGGTAGCTGTTCCATCTTTGTTTTCCTTTTATACTTTTCTCTTATAAAGTTTATGTGATACTGTGAGATGTTCATGAAAAATATTCCTTAATTATACTTTGTTAAAGAAGAACTGCTTACCATGAATATTTCTGCTGACCACCACAATCTAAAGTACTGTTGGCAAAAGATTAGATACTTAGTTTACTCTTACTGATTCTTCTCTTTTGGACCAAAGTAATGAGAAGAAGTATATTAATACCTTAGAATGAAATTACAACTGTCATACATTTGGAATGTTATGATCCCAGACAATCTTTATATAATTTGAATTATACTGTATGTTAGATTTCTGATAAAATTTGGCCAATTTTTACAGAAATTATTTCTCTGATCATTTAGTCCAATTTAAAAATATGTTAAACTGGATTTTTCTTAAGGTAATATGTGACCAAAGTTCATCTTTTTCTCCTTAAGGTCTAAATAAAGAGAAAGCAGTTTCCCATATTTGGTTGTGATACCTTTATCCTCATTATTTAAAAATGAGGAATGGGCTCAGTGAACAAGAAGCTGAAACAAATTCTTTTATCTCAGTACTATTATGCTAATTAATACTAAAGAGAAGTATTACTTTCCAATTTTATTGCTGCTTCTGTTGGGGTAAGATTAGAATCTCTGATACATTTGATTGGTACAATAGATTGGAACAAATACATTATGGGGATATTTGAATATTTGGTTCCAAAATCTTAATATTTCTAAGTAACTGGTTCAAAGACATGAGTCAAACTTATTTGTGACCTAAACTATTATACAACTAGATACTTAAGTATGTGTTTGGTATGTTGGACTTTTTTTTTTTGTACCAGGGATCAAACTCATGACCTTGCGCTTGCGAGGCAGGTGCGGTGCCACTGAGCTAAATCCCTGGCCCTGGACTTTTTTTTTTCAAATCTATACTGTTTTTAAATTTAGAATGAGTGCAGCAGCTAGAACAGGTGAATTCTGGACTATAGATTATGTCTTGCAATATTTTTCATCTGTTAGACCCCTAAGGTATTTTAATTCCTCACATTGGTTTTGTTTTTATGTGTATGTGTGTATTTTTTTAATGTGTTTTTTTGTTGTGGTGGTGTTTTGTTTTGTTTTTTGAGAAAGGTCTCACTATGTAGTTCAGGCTGGCCTTGAACTCACTGTGTAACCTTGATCTTGAAGTGATCCTTCTGTCTCAGCCTCCCTGAGTGCTGGGAGTGTGCCACCACGCCCAACCTCACATTGTTTTAAAACAAGTACTACCCTAAATGTTTAAAATATGGTGAAGGGTGGTAGACAGTGTGACATCTAACAAGTACTTTCTTCTTTGAAGAAATTTGGCCACACATACATTTTTTTCTTTTTTTCTTTTTCCTTTTGTTTTTTGAGACAGGGTCTCACTATGTAGTTCATACTGGCCTTGAACTCATTATGTAGCCCAGTGATCCTGCTGCCTTAGCCTCCCAAGTGCTGGGATAACAGGCCACCGTGCCTGGTTTAATTCCATTTTAGTTCGGCAATTGACTTTCAAATAAATATCTAGCCTGCAGGATTATGTATTACAGTTAATTTAATTTAGAAAATGAAAACTTGGTTGATGTTTCATAATGGAAGGAGACCAGTATTGTTTCAAAACAAATATTTTCATCAGTTCATCACTTAAATATAGGTTGTGTAAGCCTGGGTTTGGTTCATTGATTGATTGATTGATTGGTACCGACAATTGAACTCAGGACCTTGTGCTTGCCAGGCAGGCACGGCACCACTGAGCTACATCCCTGGCCCTTAAGCCTTGGTTTTAATGTATAAATAAAAACACCTCCTAAAATAACTACACTGGATGAACTTTTTTCTTAATCTCCAAATAGAGATTCTCTTATTTTAATTCATGTGTTACTGGACACTGACAAATTTCAAGTTTATAATTAAGTTTAGTTCTGTTGGTCCACATGGCCTAGTGTCCAGAAATCACATTAAACAGACTGGAGCTGAGCATGGTGGTACACACCTATAATCCCAGCACTCTGAGAGGCTAAAACAGCCCCAGCCTGGGCATCCTAGTGACTTAATGAGATCCTGTCTTTAAAAAAAAAAATGTTGGGGATGTAGCTCAGTGCAAAGGCCCCAGGTTCAACCCCCAGTAGTGTAGAAAAGACAGACCAGTGTTAGGCTGTATTGATGTGTGTACTAAAAAAAATATTGGGGGGAGAGATAAGAAAATAGTGTTTGTACATTCAAACACTATTATGTGAAAAGTTTAAAGGCAGCTTTCCCCGTATTTTCCTATTTTCCGTGCGTGTGTGTGTGTGTGTGTGTGTGTGTGTAGTGCTAAGTATCAAATCCAGGGCCTCACACATGCTAGGCAAGCACTCCACACATCCCCAACCACTCAAGTATTTTAAAACCTGGGAGAATTGAAAGTAAAGAAAAAAGTTTAGAGGGATTGATCCATAGTTTAAAGCAGAAAGTTACACCATAGTCTTTTAAGTAAACTTGGAAATAAATTAAAGCTACCTGATTAGCTTCAGTGACCATTTCTTAATACATAAGGCTGGAGTTCCATTACTTCATCTCCATCACAACCACATCCAGTATACTGTTGAATATCCAAAAACAGCCTGACCTCTGAAGTCACTAGTTTAGAAATTTCACTAATGAACATACAACTGACAGTACAACTCATTTCATTATACCTGTTCATGTCAGGTGAAAGTTAGTTTTCATCTTTATAAGTCCTGTCTAGATACTTAATCAGTTCTAGATAACAGCTGTCATTCTCCCCAGTAACTGCCAAATGTCACACCTTTCTGCTAATTCCTAGTCCTGGATGTGTCCAACCCCTACAGATGATTTCTGGAGAAAGATGGGAAAATGTGTGAATTGATACTAATTGACCTCAACAGTACCTGTTGCCCTTTCTTAGTCATTTCTCCTGTTTTCAAGTTTGTAAACCTTTATTCTGAAATGTCTTCCCCTCCTTATACTTCCTTTCTCTCAAATAATAAAGAGACCTTCAGTTAGGAATTCTTGCACTTCCACCTACCAAATCCACAACCACAGACAACCATACCATTATGCACTGAGTCATATCCCACCTCTACCACCACAGTGACCTTGAGTATAACTTGATCTCTCTGGACTCCTTTCCTCAGTAAAATCGGAACAGTAGTAACCATCTTGTATCGTTGTGAGAATTAGATAAAACAGGTAAAATGCTTTAGTGTGCAGGTAGGTTATATGTGATTAATAAGTGCTAGTGACTGTTAATCCCTTGTAAGCCTAGTGCTTTTGCTTATCTTTACAGTCTTCAACCTCTTCTATAATCTTTTGACCCTTTTCTGTTAGCATTGGTTCAGGTATTTTGCATCTTAAAAAAAAAATAGCACATGCCTGTAATCCTGGCACTGTGGGAATCTGAGGCAGGAGGATTGCAAGTTTGACCCCAGCTCAGGCAATTTAGTAACTTTAGTTAAATCTTTTCTCAAGAATAAAAAGTTTAAAAAAAAAAAAGTTGTAAAAAGGGCTGGTGGACATTGCTCAGTGGGAAGACCATGAATTCAATCCCCAGTGCTATTAAAAAAAAAAAGGGCTGGGGATTTAGCTTAGTGGTTTCACCGCCTGCTGTGCAAGCGCAAGGACCTGAGTTCGATCCCCAGTACCAAAAAAGCTTCAAGTACCATGTGCTTCACCTGTAATCAATCTCCATACTTTCTATACTCCAATTTTAATAATTTGTGTCCGTTTTATTTTTAGTGGTCCTGGGGATTGAACCCAATGAGCAACATCTCTGGCCCCCTTTTTCAAATTTTGAAATGGGATCTTTCCCATGTTGGCTTCAAACCTTTAATCCTTCTGTCTCAGTTTTCACTGTAGCTAGGATTATACATGGGCTCACCACACCCAGCTAATAACTTGTTTCCATTACTGTGTACTTCCTCACTTCCATCCCCTCCCTTATTCCACTCAGTGTGGCTTCTACCCACCTCTGACATGCCACACTGAAAAGCTGTTTTCACCAAATCAAGGACTCATTTTCCAAAAATTTACATAATGTATTTTTTAGTTCTTCCTTGATTGGTTAGCTGTACTTGACATTGTTACCCAGTAGTCTTCAGAATAGAATATACACACTCCTACAGTTCAGAGAATTTTCAAAGCCTGTTTGTCCATGTGTGCTTACTCAAACTGATCTGCCTTAACACTACTTCTCATTTCACAGCTTTTCTCCCACTGGAAGAAGGAAAGGCAAGACCTCTCAGCCATCCCATAACCTCTTCTGCCACGGATGACACAGCACAGAAGTCCCAATAGTTACTGGCACTATCCTCTTGGACTTGCCAGTCTCCAGAACTGTAAGAAAAAAATTTTTTTTCAGTGCTGGGGATTGAACCCAGGACCTCACATGTGCTGGGCAAGCACTCTACCACTGAGCTGCACCCCCAGACCTATTTGTAAATTAGTCTGTGTATTCTGTTGTGGCGACAGAAAAGAGACTAACACAGGTGGTTTCCCTCAAAACTGGTAGAGAACTGAATTGTCAGCTGATAGATTAAAAATAATAAATTTGATGAAAGATCACTGATTTTTGGCCTAAATTGTAAGAATTCAGGGGCTTGATTGAAATTTCTAAAACCTATTATTGACTATTTTTCATGTGAACAAGGTTTCTCAGTTCTTTGATCTACAGAAACACAAATAGAATTCTCTCTTTTAGAAATTACAGTTATGTGCATGTTCCATCTCTTTTCTCGGTGTCATTTTTCCTTATTTTTGTCAGTCCCGTTGTCTGTTTTCCCTGTGATTCAAGCACTGCATTCTGTCATTCCAATTTTATTTTCATTTTTATGATTATTTTATTTTTAAATGCTGTCCCTTATTTCTTCTAGCTCACATTTCATTCTTGGTTCCATCATATGTTGTATTTCTGATGTGTGCTCATATTTTATAATCTTTCATTAAGATTAAAATCCTGAACTTTTTTGTTATAATTTTCAAATATTTTGAGGCAGCATTCCTGATGAATGTTCTTCACCTGCCACTTATTTTTCTCTCTGTTGTTACACAGAGCTCATACTAATTCTTTTTTATTGCTTGGTCAACTACAAATACTTAATGAAGACCTGCTGCATATCATGCACTCTTGGCACTAGGAGGATAGCAGAGCACAAAATCAGGCCCTACTTTAATGAGGCTTTCATTCTGGTGGAGGAGAGAGATACACTAGTTGTACATTCAGGTGGTAATAAATATTAAAACAGGAGAGGGGATGACCCCATAGAATAAGCCAAGGACAGCAGACAGTTGTGAGATGAGTTCAAAGAGCAGGAACAAGATCAATAGAATAATCATAAGATGAACTTTGAATTTTATCCTGGGAAGAATGGGAAGATCTTGGAAAAAAAAATTGTATTAAAGCAACAGTTATGGGCAATTATTTATGCTGCTGCATTGTTTAAAAAATTATTGGGTGCCAA